TCTACTCTACTCTACTCTACCCTGCTCCATTCTACTCTACTCTCTATTCCACTCTATACTACTCTACTCTACCCTACTCTACCCCACTCTACTCCGCTCTGCTCTACTCTACTCTACGCTAGCCTGCTCTATTCCACTCTACTCTACTCTACCCTGCTCTATTCCACTCTACTCTACTCTACCCTGCTCTACTCTACTCTACTCTACTCTGCTCTACTCTACCCTGCTCTACTCTACTCTACTCTACTCTAATCTACCCTGCTCTATTCTAGTCTACTCTACTCTACTCTACTCAACTGGTGATGGACACCTTGTTATATCTACATGTATGTGGGTTAGGTCCTCATCTGAGGATTTCTTTCTGGTTTCTCTGGGAGCAGGTTTTAGAAGATCCTGCATTTTAGCCCCGGCTTTTCATTACGACTCTGATAATTTCTTACAGAATGGTTGTAAATCTGTGGAATGTTTTTACATATTGTTTTTGTTAGCAGGGTTTTGGATTGGGTTCATGTAAAAGTGCTTTGCGCATATATTTTTATTTGTATGAGATTATCAGAATAGTGTGTTTGTTTATTGTCTGTACAGCATGTTTCCCCATGTGCACTTTTGGATAATCATCACGAGTTTGGCATACTTGTGTGTGTGTGTGTGTGTGTGTGTGTGTGTGTGTGTATCTGCGTGCTTGGCCAAGGCATTGGCCTAAAGCTCTGATGTCATATTTCATTCACTGTTATGCAAGTAAATAAGTAAGTAGCACATTCTGTCTGTCTCTGTTCACCAGGCGTTCACATCTCTGTCTGCACTGAGGGGTTTGTTCTCAGCTGTAACTATGAGAAAATAGTTCTCACTTCAGCTCCCTTCTCGACACAAATAATGTCCAAGTGTATGTTGTGTGCAGCACAAGTGAAGTGGAAATTCACATTTTTAACCTGTTTCACAAATATTTAGTCTAATTGGTGATGTATGTATACTGATGATACTGGTATGTATCTTTAGCCATGCTTGTGGCTTGGCTGTATTGATGTCAGTGTTGGTCAGTTGGTCCACCATTTTCTTGAAATAGCAGTAGCTTTTGAAACTGTTGAATTGTAATGAAATTTTGTACAGATTCTCGTGATCTCCTGACCGTCCTTTGGTGATCCCGTGACTTTTCATTTAGCGCCTTCATCAGGTGAAAGTTTAAATTCGACAAACTAAGTGCAAACTAATGACACTCCCATTAACCTCTGTTATACTTTGTGTTTAGTGCTAATTAGCAAATGCTAGCACGCTAAACGAAGATGGTGAACATGGTTAAGCAATATCACATGAGAGGGAGTGATGTTGTACTGTATATTGTCACAGCTGTGATTTGGTAATAGGCACGAAGCCACAGGCTGAGTGCCAAAGACAATTACAGCCGTGACGATATACAGTACAACATTACTACCTCGAGTGTGATATTGCTTTTATACAACAGGTCAACAACAGCTTAAACAGCAATGCTGAGTAAGGAAATGTTAACAAAAGGTGATGAAATAAATTATTTAAGTATGTTATATAGCTCCGCGAAAAAAAAACAGTTCTCCCCAGTCTGTTGCCAGGCAACGCAGCCCACACACCAGGAACTCACAAGCTACTTTGTATTTACATTGATCTGCAACTGTGTAACTTCGTCCAGTTCGGCTGATGAAACGTTGGCAAACCTGGATGTTGCCACGGTCGGATTCAAACACTCCTGGAGGTCTGCACAGCAGAGTCCTTTCCTTTTCCTCGTCCTCTCCTGACGACCACTCATAATTTAATTTAAATGTAATTTTGGGGAAAATATCCATCTTATTGTTGTAACGCTGTAGTGTCAGTTTGCGTCAATGTAGCAAATGTGACAGTTGGTTAATTAACGGTTGTATTTATATTCATAACACCTGACCAACAACAGATAACTGAGCTGTATTAAGTTTTAATACTTGTGTGCAATTCCACTTATTTCCTCTGTTTCTTATTTCAAAAGTCATCTAGATATATCTACTCTTCTGGACATCATATTTTTCCTCTTCCACCCCCACCTACCATTATTAATGGGGTATGTACCAACTTAAGTCAGAATGAAATAAAGTAGTTCTGCAGTGCTGTTTAAGGAAAGCAAGGTAATGATATTCCCCCAATCAACAGTGTAATAACAGCGGCACCATTAAGAACCTCACTGGAGCTTGGTGTGTGTGTGTGTGTGTGTGTGTGTGTGTGTGTGTGTTTGATGATAGCCATGATATGAATCTGGATTTGGTAAGGGGTCATTGGCGGGTGAAGTAGATGTCAGGGGGAAGATGTGGATTTAGAAGAGATGGTTTTCAGCCTGCATCTGAAAATTTGGAAAGACTCTGCAGATATTTGATTGAGGGATGATATTTTGGTTTGAATATAGAAGTTGACTTTGTGCCAGCAGTCATGTCTGATGGTGTTGGTTATTATGTAAGACTGCACACAGCCTTCTGTCCTAAAACCAAGGCTTAGTCAGACATTAAGTTCTCATTTTTTGCTTGCACAAACTTGCGTTATGGTTTGTTTTTGAGCCTGTTTAAATATTGTGAGGAGACCAGGAGAGATTTTTAGGTAATGAAGAGTTTCCAGAGATGTGTGGGTTGTTGCTGATACAGGCTCGAGTGTAGACTTTGTGGGTGCAGTTGAGTTGCGTGTCTCACAGCAGGATGCCTTTGCTGCCCCCGAGTCCTGAGGCCCAGATTCTGATTTCGGCGTGCTAGCCTTCTCTGTGTCCGTGTGTGACCTTCTCTTTTCCTCACTTTCCCCTTCCCTTTCCTCCTCTTCATTATCCTCCTCCTCTTTTTCCACTGGGCGGCTGGCCAGGGCCGGAGCAGGCCCAAGCAGTGTAGCATTATTGGGTTTATGTGGTGGGCAGGCAGACAGGCAGAGGGAACCGAGCCAGACGGATAACAAACAGCACCCACTAAGGTAAAATAGAGCCCTGTGAATGTGCGTGTGAGAGTACGTGTGTGTGTACGAGAGTGCAGGAAATGTGGCTGCCAGACCAGGCTCTCTGACACTGCTGGGCCAGTCACTGTGGTGCCAGTGATGAGATGAACAGGGCTCCGTCACAACTTGGCCCTCTCCCTCGTAAGATCCTGTTTTCGCTCACACTTACTTCTCTTTCTGAGCTGTAGAGGGACAGAGGAGTATCGTGTGTGGAGAGAAAGACTGACAAATGGTGTCATTTCTCTCTTGGGGATTTCTTTTTATTGGGGATGCAGTTTGTTGATGTCCTGTTGCTCAAATATAAATAAATTAATTCCCCCTCCTCCCTGGAATTGCACACACATTTATGCACACAAGGTCAGAATAAGTGTTGGAGGTTCTTTACCGGTCATTAGTGAATTTATGGATGTTACTGAGAATCCTACACCGTCACAAGTTGTTGAAACGAAACCCTTAGGCAGAGCAAGTATTTTGTCATGCATTATGGTTTAAAACTCAACCTCACAGGGTCTTCATCAGTCACAAGTTGTTGCTTTGTTCGGCCTCCTTCCTTTCAGAACAGTACAAAAAGAAGACACTGGGATGTGACCTCCCATTTTCTCCTTGAGTTAATCTTTTAATGTAGTCGGATGTCAGTGTACATGAAGCATTTCACCCCTGTAATGTTTTGAACTAATGTCTCCTTGTCCGCTTGACTTAAATCTTTCTCGGTTCAGTAACCAAGTGAACTGATGATGTGACTGTGTCATAGTTGGATGGATCAGGACGACTTAACGACATTATGCACCCATCAAGGCGAGTATGTGCAAATTGTCAGATAAATTTATCTGCTCTTCCATCCTCTGCCACTAGATGGCAACAAATCCACTTGGCTTCTCCTCTAATTCAGCTTGATCATTGTGGACCTGCAACACACTCACACACTGTCTCTCACTAGTGCTTGGTCCGTGCATTCTGTGTGGCTAGACGTGCAGGAGCCAGAGACTGTCATCTGTGTACCTTGGTGTTCATGCTTCTCGTGCTTCTGGTGACGCCTGAAAGCACCAGCACTTCTGTAGGAAATTCAGCTCCCTCTCATCCCCCAACAAGAAAAACGAACCCCACTCCAGTTGGCCAGTAGTTCCAGTTTCTCTTTGTTTTGTGGCGCCGTCTATGTTGTTTCAAATTTCAGGTGCTGCAAACCATCGTGCGTGACTCCATTGTTCCCATTTTGGCCTTGATTACATCAGTCTGACTGCACATAATCTTTGGCATTCACTTCCCTGTGAAGCGTAAATCAGTTATAAGGCTGCTTTCTATAAAAAGGTTGACATACACAACCTGACTGCTCTTCATAACTGGGTCCTGCACGGATCCATCCACCCATCTGTACTGAAACACAGAGCTGCAATTTTCAGGCGAGTCTTGACACTCTGTTCTGCAATCCACGTGGAGCGCACCAGGAGAGGCATGTTAGCAAAATGAACAGTCCACGACTGCCTCAATGGGTAGTTTCCCTGTGTGATTGTGTGTCTTTGGTGTTTTAAAAGGTTAGTTAAGATACACGCAAGTCACACAGTAAGACAAACAAACTGCCGATCGAGGCAGTAATAGAGCAACATCTCCTGTGTTCAGCAAGGTAAAGTTAATGTTTTTGTCAATAGAGTCTGGCATTGAAGAGAGCACTTCAGTTTTAGTTCAACTCCCCATCAGAAAGGGCTGTCTGTTTGGGAAGTACTAAGCACACAACTGAATACATGAGACTTGTATTGTATCACAAGAGCTGTGTGAGAGTTGGTAAACTGATGTATTCATGTTGTTTTGCTGTTGTAAAAGGCAGACCACTATGACTTCAATTCATCAAGAATCTCTCCGTTTTGAGATTCTTTGTTCACAAATTTTACTCAACAAATTTAGTGTCACATGGGTTGAGTAAATGATATTCAAATGGTCGTTTGGGGAGTGACGTATTTCTTTAAAATGTCTAGAATTTATATGAAAATGTAATTAATTGATCCAAAAAACTCACTACATCTTTGTGTATCTGTCTCCAGGTGGGCTGTGGAGTGTCTTCACATTGGGTGGAGCCAGCAGCAAAGCTGGGATAGACCAGGAACACAACCCCTTACCTTTATCCAATCAGAGCCTTCTTTTACTGCTGGTCCTAGCCAATCTGACAGATGGGCCTGACTGGCCCAACCCCTACCGCCAGGCTATCACTTGTTTCAGAAACACACAGGGTAATTCATTGGTGTATTTTTATCTGTTATACATGTATGAGAGTTGTTTATGTGTAGGAAATGTGCCAAGGTAATGACATGATGTGATAAAATATTAAATTCTCCCCATATAGACACATCGTCCATGTCCGTGGAGCAACCTCACACTTTCCAGATCAATTTCAACAGCCTGTACACAGCGCTGTGTGAGCAGCAGCGCTCCGACCAGGCCACACTTCTGCTGTACACCCTCCTTCACCAGAATGCCAACATGAGGACATACATGCTCTCCAGAACCGACATGGACAATCTGGTGGGTAGGACTGCAGTGAGGACAGTTGTTGATTCATGCACGTGCACATACATTCATTATTCCTGTCTCAGTCTGACATTTTGTGTGCAGGTTATTGACAAGGAAATAGTACAGAACACTGCGTGATTGGGTAATCCTTAACAAAACACATTATGCAGTCCTTCCTTACACACATGGCTATGGCCATGAAATCGTTTCATCTAGGACCAATGCTATGCCTCAGTAAACAGCGAGGATGTATGCAGTGGCAGCTGGTGCTATTCTGTCCATGTGGGACAGTGCCAGTTATTCCTTACAGCAGAATGAATGTACTGAGGCATTTAGTGAATGAAAATCAATCTCCAACTCAGCATGTCAGATGGTATCACATATGAGCATGGTAGACAGTCACATATGAGGCTCTGCTACACAGTGTGACACTAAATAATTTGGTTTTATTGGACTGGGAGTGGGAGTTTAAGTAGTGTATATCTGTTTGTATCAGTTTTAAAAATACTAAGCATCTAAGCAAATTACTACAGAAAATTCATTGCAGTAGCCATATCTGTGCAGGAAATTACTTTAATGTACAATCATATTTTGAAATGCAGGTCAATTAAATTCCTATACATCTATCAGTACAACCTTTCCGTAATATCCCCTATTTTTAGCTGCTGTAATAAAACATCCTCATTAGCAGATTGAGCTTATTATGTAGGGGGGGCTACTAATGAGTCTAGCCACAATAAAGCACCTCTGCACGACAGAGTAATGAGCTAACGCTGCATCTGTGTGGGTTCATCGCTCACCATGCTAGCTACTAACTGCTTTCACTCTGACAGTGTGGTTCTGAGAATGAAATCCTTTGCACACTGTTGTCATTAGTGGATCACTTTTACCATCTGTTCTACATACTTCTGAATATCACATCTGCCTCCACCTATAGTCTAGCAGCCATGAATTAGTAAAAAATGTTAATGTTTTCTCAGCTAGCATCTGCAGTGCTCCTTTTCTTGTTTTATTGTCTCTTTTACTTGGTGCTTAGTTTGCCCCACAGGTGGTAACACCACTATAGTAACAGGGCTTTATGTAGTGCAAGTAACAACATGATTGTATCGGGCTAGTTGATAGATTAAGCTTCAATAAAGCCCCCTGGCAAGACAACAAAAGCTTCCTTTCCCTGAATAGAATAATGCAAATAATACATTTTTGATTGTGCATACCTTATGCAACTGCAAGATTGACATTTTATATTTTTGTCCCTTCAGGCTGTTTGATTGTGAAATATTATAACAAGAATTTAATATATGCCATTTCTGAGACTACACCTACGTATATGTTCAACCCTTCCTCCTGCTCTCCCTCTCTTCCTCCCAGGTGTTGCCCATCCTCGAAATCCTTTACCACGTCGAGGACAGAAATTCTCATCATGTCTACATGGCCCTCATTATCCTCCTCATCCTGACAGAGGACGATGCCTTCAATCGCTCCATCCATGAGGTGGTGGGTAGACACAGTTTAACAATACAAATTGTTCACATTTCAGGTATTGCCGCTGCAACCTTCCTTCACTGGACATGGTCGGGATAATCTCAAATCTTGATGTTTTCAACAGCTTTGTCTCATTTCTGTGTCTTTCTCCCTCCCACAGGTGTTGAAGAACATTTCATGGTACACAGAGAGAACACTGACTGAGATCTCACTTGGTAGTTTGCTCATCCTGGTGGTCATCCGCACCATTCAATTCAACATGACCCGGACAAGGGTAAGTTTAACACATACTCACACGCATACAGTTTGTGTGCTTGCAAAGCAAATTAATCATTTAGAAACCAAATATATATATTTTTTTTTTTCATCTTGTATCATAACTTTAATGGATCATAAGATATTGGATAATGAATTAATCTGTAGATGCTGTGGTTGAAAATAATGGTTCCAGCTCTGGTTCAGACCAAACTTTTCAATGCTTGTTAATTTTTAAGCCATGACAAAGGCCAAAATGTGGCCTGCAACAGACTGGAAGGTTTCTTGATTTTGCCTTTAGGACGTGCTGCTAGAAAGCCCCTTCTGGCAGATATCTTTTAATTTTAACCCAAACCATGATCTTTTTCCTAAACCTATCCAAGAAGAGGCTTATTGTCTTATTGACCCCTGTAGGTAAACTTATCCTATCAGAGACCATGTCCGGAAATGCCTTTTGGTCTATGCTTTTGCTATATGACTTTGTTGATCCCTCGTGGCCCCCACCAGCCAGTTAACAACAATGAGAGGCCCTTTGACATATAGTCATAAATGTGCATACGAAATATTAGGCTGATTGGTCCAGTAGTATGCAAGAGAGCTGCTGACAGATAGATACACTCACACAACTGAACGTATGATCCCCTCCATGCTTATGCCTGCCTGAGATAATGAATTATATCCATATATGTCATGATGAAACTGTAAAGATGGAAATAGCAGCATGATTTGTTGTTTAAATGTAACATCTGGTAACATGTTTGTGTGTGCATGCTCCCCAGGATAAGTACCTTCACACCAACTGTCTCGCTGCACTTGCTAACATGTCAGCCCAGTTCCGTTGTCTCCACCAGTACGCCGCTCAGCGCATCATCAGGTGAGGACATACTGTAGGTGTTGCATAGCAGACAGAGTAAAACAGAGGTTAATCAGTAGCTTCTTTCTTCCATGAATCCATTTTTATCCACCCTGTTCTTACTGTTGCTCTCTGCTCTTTGATTCAGAGGGATATTAAAAGTGGTTTGAAACAAAAAGGAAAGGTGTCAAAATACTGAGGCAAAGAAACCAAGTCTGTTTTTATTATGTACTTCGCCTGTTTAACATTGAATATATCTATCGTATCTTGATTTAAATTCGAATCTGGATCTTGACCTTTATATTTGACAGTCTTTATATCCTTCTCAGTATAGCTGCCGTTATATGTCAATATTGATGCATATTCAGAGAATTCAATACATGACAAATCAAAATACTTCATTACAATGATTCCAAATGCATACAAAAGTCCATTATTGCTTTAAGACAGTCCTGCTCTTTGACCTGCATCATTTCCAACAACAGTGTAATACACCTAGGGATGATAAAACATTACTACAGTGTAAATGGTATGGCAAAATCTCTCACAATAGACAATATTGTCACATGGCATCGGCCCACTAAATCTTAACTGTGCTGAGTGTGAATAAAAAAGACATCATGTACGCATTACAGAGAGAGAAAGTGTGTGCTCAACAATATAAATCAGTTAATAAAGTAGAAAAAGGTGGCACACCATCAAAGCAGTAAATGTGTTTCGGCCAGAGGCTTTCCTCAGGGTATGAATGTGAATGAAGTCTGCACAAACTAGAGTTATTGCACAGGAGATAACGTGCTTTCTGACATTTTTTGTAGTTTCATGAACTGAAATCAAGAGCATAAGCAGTGTACATCATACTTAGCCGGTGTGTATTTCATCTGTTTTAAATAGCTGCTTCAAGTAAGTGGCAGGCCTCGACACAGTCTTCATCTGTGTGAGGCAAGCAAAGACGCCAGAAGAGAGACTCATTCATTTTAATGATCGTTATAGTAACTTGACAGCGGCTGCAGCCGGAGAGACTAAGAAATGAAATATTGAGAGAGTGGTGTGCCTGTGTACAGAGGAACATTATGTAACATGAGGTAACTAAGGGAAAGAGTTTGGCCTACAAGGAGACGGAAGACTTGAGAGGAAAAGGTCCAAACCACATACGCACACACACACATCAAGTCATTCATGTCTGTTTGTTAAATCCAGACACACAGGAAGGAATGTTTCCTTCCCTGTAGACGTGCACACATTCACGCACACTCAAGGATCCTCTTATCTTGCTGCGGCTGTCTCTCTCCATATCTGTGACTCTCTGGTGTTTTGAGTCAGAGAGGAACACTGTCTGTGAATGTGTACATGTCTGTCCTGTAGTGATGTAGAGCAACTGACTCCATGTCTGATGATAATGATAATGATGATGACTGTGATGGCCAGGGCTGGGCTAAAGTGGCTGACTGGCTGGCTGGCTAGATAAAGGGAATTTCCTGCCAGGAATTTCCAAATGTCTGCCAGGCAGTGCTGAACTCTGCTCCGTAATTGACACTCAGAGAGAATCACAGTTGGTGCTGTTTATTTACAGGCAGCAGTGGGTTTGAATCGCCTCCACCCCCACCACCACCCCGCATCTTTCCTTATTATTTTCTATTCATCCTCCCTCACCATCAGTGTTCTCTATCTGCTGCATTGTTCCACACATATCGGTCTCTTCTTCACAGTCTCTTCTCTCACCACACATGCTCATGTGTCAGATTAATCCACCAGTTACTCTCTTGATTAAATGTTTGGTCTAAAAAATGTCAGCAAATACCAAAAGATGCCCATTAGTAAATTTCCAGAGCCCATGTTGACACCTCAAAATGGCATGTTTGGTCTGACCAACAGTCCAAAGCTGAATATTCACATTCGAGAAGCTGGAGCCTTATTTTTTCTGCTTAAAATTGACTAAATTGACTAATTATACCAAAATACCAGCATGGTTATTTCCCATTATTAGCATAATGTATTTATTACCAGCTGCGACTACGTCATGGTGGCTGGTATTATTTTCGCCTTGTGAGTCTATGAGTGTGTGTCTGTCACCATGGCAAAATGTGATCCTAGTGTCACCAGTTGTAGCAGGTACCTCCACAGAAGCTGTTTTGCATATTTTGCCAGGTGATTATATGTCTGTCTGTCTTGTCGGTGGGCAGATTTTGTTCAATGCAATTGAGTTTTTACTGTGCAAGAGGCAGTCAGGACATTTTACAGGTGTGTAGTTGAGACAAAAATGAAGGTCAAGTATGAAGATGAGTGTGGTCTGAGCAAGTGTACCACAAGTAGGCGAGTAGGAAGTAGGGAAGTGGCCATTGCCCCTCACTTTACACCTGTAGCCCACATTGGTTTGAGCTCTAGTCATCAGTTAACTAACTTTAACCCATTTTCACACTTTAAAAAAAAAAAAAAGTGCATAAAAGAAATGTTTTAGGACAAAATGTAGTTAGTTGAATATGTAGAAAAAGTATTCAGGCCGTGCTAATGTTCACCATTGGACACCTCCACTGCACAAGAAATCCCAAATAAAAGAGAATAAATAGAGCTGGAGATTGACGGTACACGTAATGGCAACATCCCTCTTTTGAGTCCAGACGAGAGCCCTTGACACCTCCCCTCTCTATCACCATAGAAGCTGATAAAACACAACAAAGTATGCATGGAAAAGAAGAGACGTAGTAGTTAATTTTAAGAACACAAATACCATTTTTGGTGGTCAACACTAAATAAATGTCATGATATATCAGTGTTACTGTTTCTGAGTTGATTATGTAATCTTTGTCTTACATCTTCTTGGATATATTTCACTAAGGGTGATTGATGCACTAATTGACTTTTCTAAACTGCAGGAAATTCTCATAGAACTTGAGCAGCATCTATATGGAAATATAATTTTGATCAGTGATACAAGCCCTAAAACAAATGTGTATGCATACGTACACACAAATGTCCACATACAGATTTAGATTAACAGCACACAAATACACACTGTGTGTCCAGATAAAACAAGAATCCTTTGAACAGGTAGAGACAAAGCACCTTTACATCTCTAGTGTGTCTGCGTGGACCACGTCTGTCATTACCCCAGCCTCATAACTGATTTTGGGATCAGGCCAGCAGTTTAGAAATCCTTCCGTGTCGCGGTTTTCCGGGCTGTGTCCGTCACTGCCTCGGCCCAAATGAGGGATGTTATTGTGGGCAAATGTCCCAGGTGGAACTTGGTTGGTGGTCTCTCATTTGAGAAAGAAAAAACTGACTTGATAGTACAACAGGTCCTATTAAGTAGTCATGGCTAATAGGGCCTTTGACATTAGGTCTGTAGATAACAAATAGACCTCCTCAGAGCTGCTCAGATGTCTCTATTCAGCTATCATTTGGCCAATTAGCCCGGATAACGAATGCTGAGAGATTCTGTGTGTGTGTGTGTTCTTCAGTGCTGACAGATAGACAGGTGTAGCTCTGAGGGGCTTAGCTGAGCTCTGCATCTTAGTTTCCCTAGCCCTTGAATGTCATTGAATTTAATTTATTCTGCAATTTTTTTCCTTGATTGACACACAAATTAAACATTCAACAGCCTTCGGGGGCCATGAAAGACTATTAAAAAGTTGTAATTAAAACAGAAGGTCACTAATAATTATGATGATAAACACTGCAATGAATTTGATATGAGACTCTGAGAAATAGGACCGTGATAGATAAGATGTAAAAAAGAGATTAACAACAGAAAAATGATTAATTTTTAGACAATCAATAAAGTAGATCAAGTTTTTTAAATTTAATTTTTAATGTTTTTTAGAGGTAAGGCCTTTGCACACTAACTTCATATTTTTACATTAATGTTTTTTTAAATGTCATCCAGTAAAAATTGTTACACACAGAAACCTTGCACCCTCAGTTTGATGCTTTTTATTGTTCTGTTAGTTGTGAAAATTCAAAATACATGGCAAAATGTAAAGACATTTGCTCCCTTACGTCTCTCCTCAGGAGTTCTCTCCCTGGCTATCACCACACTCTGCCCATATCTTACATTTTGCATTGCGGCTACCTGAGTTACAAAATGATATTGTGCAGCTATTAAATTGCGCTCTGCTGTAAGCATCATCATTACTGTCGTGCATTTCTGGATAGGCTAATGAAACCTGCTCTTTGTTGTGGAAGATTTCAAGAAAGTAATTGCTCCCATATATTTTTAGGTCTGTACCATACTCAGAATTATGTCAGTCGAATCAGATTTTGCTTTTCGATATGAATCTTTTATAATCTTAATCTTTTTTTGTTTTTTTACCTATGACAGTGGCATTCACCTAAGATGTCACTTCACTTATAGTAAACAAGCTAATGGCGCTAACGAGGGATCGGAAATGTGCACCCAACTTTTTGCTGACATCAGATGGGGGCAGCCTTTTATGTTTCCATTTTTTTTTTCTTCCTGGCTAACTGTCCACGTCTGCCCTCTTCCTGTCTCTTGTTGCACATGTATATGTCTTGTAGGTTACACCACATTTTCTTCACTGCATCTTGGTCAAACAACTTTTTTGACGGATTCAAAAAAACACAGAAAACCGAACCTGTTCCAAAAACTTGACAGATGACAATGACAGATAAAGGTTTCAGACTCTGTGTGTAAACATGATTGACACAACATGAGGTCATATTTATATTTAAACATGCAAAAATTTCAGCCTTGGTTTGCAAAGGCCTTTTAAATTCTCCTCAGAGCCTAGCAATGGGGCTCTTTTTCTTTTGCCAGGTGGAGTTTCCACAATTACCTCAGCTGTTCTACCACCCGCCATTTCTGCTACTGGGGATAGTAACTGCAGAGAACTTAAAGTGATGCTCTTTGGTAACTGGGGATCGCTACCAATAGCTACCAGGGAAGACAAAAGTGCTATCCTCCTTGTGTTTTGGTTGCACAAGGGTTCACGCATTTCCTTTTGGCCATAAATTGAGCCTTCATTTTCTTGGGAGATCGTGCCAGGGTTCGCAGACAGAATTGCATAGTGAAAAGACATATAGGGAACCAATCTAAACGCTGATGGTGTCATTACTCTACAGCCATTACATAGTGCAATCAAGGTTTACTTTATAATGATGAGATTAAGCAGAAACGTATCTTGTTTTTGTTCTTTGCACAGGTGCTACTCATAAAGTCACTTTGAAAAAAGTGTTTTTCTCTCAAGTCCCTCAAGTCTCAAGTCCCTTGCGTGACCACACATGTTGGGTGAATCAGTTTATTGTGGCGTCAACACTGCTATTAATGGTGTGTGTGTGTGTGTGTGTGTGTGTGTGTGTGTGTGTACTGACCCACCCTATTGCTACCCAAGGTCGCCCAAGCATACTCTTGATGTATGTCCATGTCCAGCCATCACATTCAATCATGCAGTCCCAGCCAGACAACCGTACACACACATACAGGGTATATAAAGGGTAAAGCCAGTCAGTTAACTTGTAGGTCAAAAGGCAGGCTGTCACCTACAAGGGCAACAAACACACACACATGTATAAACACTGGAAATATTCGAAAGGTAACCGAGACTGTGACCCACGTAGGCCAAATTAAAGCCAGGTTAGGAAAAAGGAGTTGTAAATGGACGGTAAATTAGGCATACTGTTAGTGTTTTGACACATCATTTCTAAAACTGTCTCCTGCCAATTTCATGATTATTTTGTTATTCCAGAACTAATTATTATTCAATATTTTAAAGGCCTCATTTAGAAAGCAAAACAGGCCCGTCTCTAATAATAATCTGTCTTTAAATAAAGGCCTCTCTCTTCAGTTAAAGGCCACTGTGTGAGTATTTACAGCACATTAATTACTGGTCAACGTGTGCAATACGACGACTGTGTATTTGGGTTTTTTGGTGAAGTGTATCTTTCATTTGTCGTTGCTGCTCTCACTCTTTTTCCCCCTCTCTGTGTCTCTCCCGCAGTTTGTTTGCTTTGCTTTCCAAGAAGCACAACAAGGTTTTGGAGCAGGCAACACAGTCACTGAGAGGCAGACAGGGAGACAGCACAGCCTTGCCCGACTATGTGAGTAACACACTCCCTCTCCCTCTCTCTCTGTCTGCAATCAGTTTATTTGTAGCTGCCAAATTATGTCTACTTGGATAAGACACAGAGGTTAACATTGTCATTTTGTGACGGTTTAGTGACGTTAGTGATGTTACATGAATGTGTACTTGAAGTCTCACGAATTTGGGCTTTTTTAGAAAATGATTGTCAATTAAATGATAAATGGACTGCACTTGTATAGCGCCTTTCTAGCCTTCTGCCCACTCCAAGCGCTTTGTACACTATGTCAAATTCATCCATTCACACACACATTCACACACTGGTGGCCGACGCTACCATACATGGTGCCACCTGCTACTCAGCAAGCATTCACACACCATCAGGAGCAATTTGGGGTTCAGTATCTTATTCAAGAATACTTCAGCATGTGGACTGGAGGAGCCAGGGATCAAACCGCCAATCTTCGGATTGGTGGAAGACCTGCTCTACATCTTAACCACAGTGTTTGTAATAAATCAGCAGTCACCACAGCCCAAAAATGTGTCTTAAGGACAACTACTTCAATAATCAAATAATTGTTTTTAGTCATTTTTTAAGCAAAAAAAGCCAAATAGTTGCTAGTTTGATGCTTCGTAATTGTAAGAATTTGATGCTTTTCTTTGTCACACATGATAATAAACTGAATCACTTTGGGTTTTTGAACTGTTGGTCGGATAAAACATACCATTTGAAGACGTCACCTTAGGCTCTTGGAAATTACACCAGGCATGCTTAACTATTTTCTGACATTTTATTGACAAAATAATGTGAAGATTAATCGATAACGAAAAAAAATCAGTAGTTGCAGCCCTACCTTGCAGAGAGTCAAATGAGAAGATCAATACCACTCTCATATCTGCCCCTTAAATATAAAGCCACAGCTGAGTAGGTTAGCTTAGCATAAAGATTGGAAATAGGCAATGACCAAAGACATACATTAAACCACAAATTGTCATTTTACACCTTGTTTTTGAACAGATTAAACAAACAAAATACCCAATTTTAATTAGTGTGCTCTAGAGGCACGTTTAAGTCGGATTCTGTTTCCTGTGTACAGAGCCAGGCCAACTGTCTCCCCCTGGTTTCTAGTCTTAATGCTAAACTAAGCTAACCAGCTGCTGGCTGAAGCTTCATATTCAGCATACAGAGTGGTATTGATCCTCTCATCTAAAGTAACCCAAGTATTACTATTTTTCCCCTAACATGCTATAATGGTTTTAAATGCAAGCAGTCATCATAGCATTTAAATTCAAAGCTGTGACTTTAAAATGCTAAATGTTTAGTACATCAGCCATATCAGCTCTTGTGTCAGCATTATTTGATGTTTTAAAGTAAACAAAAAAAGAACATTTAGCCATTTGCTGCTTTGTAGCATCTCCTTTATAATGGAGTTTGAAATGTTATTTGAAGTCTCTCTTAGTCTGCTGTAAAAGACTGAAACAACTCCACATTTTGCTCCTGGCACCGGTTCTGTCGACCAGTTTAGGTACTCACTTGGGATGTGGTGCACAGTTTGATGCTGTCGCTACGTTTTCAGCTGCTGGGAAGCATCGAATATAAGGCCTGTTGCTGCAGGCCCAGAGTGGTGTCGCAGTATGCAGCTCCGTCTACTCCAAGCCTTTGTCATCTTCACATTACTTTTCCAGCCCACGCATTTAATTTGTACTGAAATTGAGTCTCCACTTGTAGAATAATATTAGATGAAAGTATTGAGCGTTTTTTAAAATTGGATGTTAAAATCGGTCATTCAGTGTGGCACCAAAGTAATATTGAAATTTCTCTGAAACATCAGTGTTTATCTGAAATTGAAATCTTAACAGCACCACAGCAGTAACTAAGTGACAGAGCACAAACCAATACGTTTAAAATGATGTTGTTGCAATGCAATCAAGTATCTTTGGATCTTGTTAGTACACCACACCTGACCACTGAGTACACTCCGTCGACTATTGACTGTTTAACGATCAGTGTTTGTGTTCAGGCGCTTCTGCCTTCAGGTTTGTCTGTATACGTCTCAGTCTGGCTGTCTCATTAGATTTACACGGTCCTATATAAGTGTGTGTCTGCGTAAACATATTTGTGTGTGTGTGTGTTTGGGGGTTGGAGATGTATTAGGAGGTCCCCATAGATGCCCTGAGGTGTTGTGGAAACGTGAGTGTATTTGAGTGCTCCTTCAACCATGTAGCGACTGTCTGATGAGGCCCTTTTACAGACAGACATCTCTGCACACACATAAACACACACACACACACACACACACTCATAAAAACATATAAAATGCAATTATCCTGCTTTGTTTTGATGCTTCCTTCCTTCAGGGCTTATTTTAATGTTCTGTTTTATTTACACACATGCATAAACACCCACTATACATGACTAAATATGGAAAAGAAAAACATAAAGACAGATTACTTTGCCTTGATTAAATCTTCTCTGTTAAAGATATCAGTCCAGCCAGCTGTTTCCATAGGAGAGTGCACTCAGACTGAATATAATAATAGTGACAACAATAATAAAACAAACACACGCACACACAGTGAGAGGTCAAAGTGTAAGGTCGACTGCACAACAGCGGTCTTGCTTTTGGTAGAGTTCCAGTGCGTTGCTCAAGGGCACAAGGCACATTTCCAGTCGGATTATTTCATGGGAATTTTGCGGCGAGGGTTTTTTCCTAGAAGAGTGTCTGACATCCAGTCTGGGTCATAGACTCTTTAAGACAGAGCTGGTCAACTTTTCTGATAACGCTGTTTATCCTTGAGCTTAGACTATACTAACTCAACGTGACATTGGTTCCCATGTCTGCAAGGGTCCCCGTGGCCTACTGTTCACAGCTAGAAGTCAACTTTTAGTTTTAGTGACATCTCTTGATTAAAAGGAACATATTGTATTGTTTGCCTTGTGAGCATGTGCACACACACACACACACACACACACACATACACACACACACCAAGAGATATAAATTCCATTTAATTGTGTCTTGGGCAGCAGAGTGCACAGTCAGCTTTTCACACGTATTTGGTAGTAAACATCTTGGTCGTAGTCAGTGGTGTTTCTGAGTGTTTGGTAAAGCCCGGAGGGTCCCTGTTCAGTTGGGGGAGGTCAGAATTAATTGTAATATGTAAGGATGCACTGATGCACTGAAAAAGCTTCAAATGGCTTTACTATGTTTACTTCTCTATTATCTATTTTATATTGTTGTGAAAACATCAACAAATTTCTCCTTCAAACAACTGTATTTATTCAAGTTTCTTTACAAAAAACACGTTTACAAGATAACATTGAACACATCATGAGAATATTATAATTTACCTTTGCCCCTCTACACATTTTTACTGAATAGAGCTTGAATGCATCAAAATGCAACTCAGTGAAACCTCGGTGAGCTGTTGTAGCTACCATTAACTAGCTCTCCTCCTGCAGATTTTATCACAGATTCGTTGTTCACAATGTAGAATTGCCTATCTGGCAAACAATACAGTGTGTCCTCTGACAAGACAATAGTGATTTTACTATGTCCTTTATTCCCGAAGGCTCCTCAGGAAAGATCTCTGTTCACCAAAACACGTTTGCTATTGTCCTCGGGATGACGGGATGACGGCTGCTACTAGCCATCTCGTCACACACCAGTGAGATCTCGGAGCCTATTTGCCAAAGGGTTAATTTATTCTCCTTGTACCTGCTCATTAATTAAAGTTTGTGGCCATCAGTGTTGCTTTTTAGCCTGCATAAAATGCATGTGACGCAATAGAAAAACATCGGCCACTGCCATCTATGAATGTCCTCTTATTTTCTGCCAGATCCGATCTGAACTAAATCAGTGCATACCTCATAATATGAAGTAAATATTTTAATTTTTCGTTTATGACCAAATACCTGAAAAACTAATGATAATATCCTAAGTCTCAGCTGTACTTTGTGTCAAGTTCTAATTAGCAAATGTTAGTATGCTAACCTGATGACACATCTGATTAACATGTTAGCATTGTCTTTATTAGCATGTTAGGATGCTAAAGTTAGTGTTTAGCTCAGTGTGCCGCTGTCCTGCTGGGCTGCATCCGAAATTCCATTTTAACATTGTAAGTATAAATTACTATCTAACATAACATTTATTACGCTAAAACAGTTTGTGGGATTTATAAGTAAGTATGAAACCTTAGTATGAAACCATTAGTATGTGAACTTGACACTACGCCAGCATTAATACCCCACAATGCAATACAGTAGATGACAACATTCGTAACAGACATTATGGCAGACATGAACCAAGACAGCTCCGTAACATCAGTAACACTTGCTTCAGTGATTTCACTTTGCTAGATGCAATATAGTTTTGGATTACTTTTAAATAACCAGTAGAGCTGAGGTTGGCATGGGCTACCATTGCTATGCATCTCTAACTGGCAAGGAGGCTGTCAGAAAGAGACGTGGTAATTAAAGCTTAGTGCGTCCATAAAGTAACACACTGCTGTTACATACACAAAAGTATGTTGCACAATAGAGCAAATACCGGGTTTGCAGTGCATAGAATGCGATTTCAGATGCAGCGCTGTTTCACAGAGCTGCTAGTGTAGCTGTTAGTCTTGTTTATTCTGATTTGAATTGGGGCGTAGAGCGTTTCAAATGTAGACCTGATCAGTAGGGATACTACTAAGAATTTATTTGTCGAGTCATTTATCAAAACTGTTTGATCTGTAAAATGTCTAGAGCCCATCATTTCTGCTAGACTGATCAGATAATTTCATAAAAGACCAAAAGAAACAACAAAACTGACCCATTATGCTGCAGTGAATTTTATATAGGATCATCATACGTATTCTGGATGGTAAGGCTGTGTCATTTCTGTGGCAGTGAGGCCTTTAACTGTCTTTGCATACTGATTACATTTTAAGCAAATATCTGTCTCATTTGTTCCTATCAATGGGAATGTGAGATCATAGATGAAAAGTAAGTCGTTCAATGTTTAATACAAAGGAAGG